TTGCTGGAGGAAGTGTGTCACTGTGGGAACAGGCTTTGAGGTTTTCTATGCTCAGGATACCTCTCAGTCAACTTCCTGTTGCCTGCAAGATGTAGGGCTCTCAGCACTATGATGATAATGGACTGAACCTCTGAAACTGTAAGTTGCCACCTCAATTAAATGTTTTCCTTTATAAGAGTTACCATGATCATGGTGTATCTTCACAGTAATACCAACCCTAGCTTAAGACACACCTATTCTTAAAAGATTTCCAGGCTATCGATATAGCTCAGTTGGTAGGGTGCCTAAATAGCATGAACAAAACCTTGAGTTTGAGACAAAGCACTAAATATACAAAGAAAGATGGCCCACACTTATGGGACTTAGAGACAGTAGATCAGCAGTCCAATATCACCCTGAACTACGAACCAGACTGAAATTAACACATTTTCCACATATTTCCACTGGTCTACTCATGTCTGAAGAAAAGCTGATATTGCCCATACTTTTTTGGTTTTTTGAGACAGGGTTTCTCAATATAGCCTTGGCTATCCAGAACTCGATTTGTAGACTAGGCTGACCTCAAACTCAGAGATCCACCTGTCTCTGCCTCCTGAGTGCTGGGATTAAAGGCGTGCACTACCCCCATACCATATTTATATTCAATTTGTCAATCACTAAAGATAATTTCTGGAATAAAACACTTAGGAATCAGCATTTCAACATATTTTAACTTGTAATATTAAGACAAGACTGCTCTATGTAGCCCATCCTGACCTCAAATCTGCAATTCTCTTGCCTCAGTCTGAGTTCCAAGATTTGGCAGTTTATTTAAACAAAAAAAAAAAAAAACTAGCCATATTAACCAGCCAAAACATAAATGAAAAAAAAAACCAGTATCTAACATGTTTCAGATCTCAAAAGGAGGAAATCAGTGGTACTTGTTGGCATACACCTCTAATCCAGCACTTGGGAGGTAGAGGTATGAAGTTCTTTTGTGAGTTTGAGGCCAGACTCATCTACCTAGTAAGTTCCAGATCAACCAAGACTGCACAGTGAGATCCTGTCTCAAAAAAAAAGAAAAAAAAAAAAAAAAAGGGAAGGACTCAATCTCCCCAGAGAAATTTTCCCTGGCAGTTTCTGTGCTGTCTTGCACCACTAAACTCTTGTTAAAGGCGCCAACACCTCTTCTATTAACAAACATTAGAGTTTAAAAAAAAACCCACCCACATATAAAAGCTCTAGTGATTTTTACAATGTGCTTAACAAGCAGACTGCAATGATTCTTGACAAAATGTGAAAGTGTTACTGTTTTAACACTCAAAAGAACATTTAGCTAACACTACATTTAGTTTCATGATGAACCATCCAAGCTTCCACCAAACCATTACAATCTCCTTCCAAAGTCCCCCAGAGTCATTCTTTTCACCAAATAAATCAAACAAAATAAATTCTAACAGCAAACTTTTTAAGGCAACCATCCACTTTTTTTTTTCTTTTTCCCTTCAGTGCTGAGGATCCAACCTGCTTGTTAAGCAAACCCTTGATCCACCAGTTACATCCCTAGCACCATCATACACTTCTTAGGGGGCCACAGGACTCAACTACAAAGACAATAGATTTCAGGAATGCTACTAAAGCATGAAGACTGAAGAAAAGTACAAAATAAAAGTTCATATGCCAGGCAGCACAGTTGCTCAGGAGGCTGAGTCAGGAAGATAGAAGATCACATTAGAACATGTTGAGCAACAATATTAGAACAATAGTTTGAAAGCCCGTCTCAAAATAAAAGTGTTGAATCTGTATGAGAAGGATTTACAAAGCAAATACTATAGACTGTACAAAGTAATAATATGGTATCACAAAGAATACATGATAAATGAGATGAATTTTGACTCTCAGCTCTACCACAACATCAAGATGTGAGAATATTAGTGATTATTTTGCATGAATTTCACTTTCCCAATCTATAAAACAAATGCTGGATCCCAGTATTTCAAGAGTAATGTTTCATGGTATCATTAACATAAATTTATATAAACTTAAAAAGCAAGGGCAAGACAGAAAGCAGTTGGGGGAAAGGAATGTTTAAGGAAAAGGCACAGTAATAAAATTGTATGCAAATGCCATCACAAAACCCATTACTTTATATGCTAACTAGAAAAGAAATGGGGATGCAAAAAAAAAGTTCAAAGAAAAACAGCAACACGACTAATAGAAAATTTTTGACAGGCTTTACTCAAGGATCAAAATTTAAATTCTGGAGGCTGGAGAGATGATGGCTCTAAATGAAAGTACTGCTCTTGGAAGGACCCAAATTTGATTCCCAGCACCTGTATCAGGAGGCTCAAAACTGCCTGTAAGTCAAGTACCTGCGCTCAAGTACACATATCACACCTTCAATACACAAATACACATAATTTTTAAAATTTTAATTATATATATAAAAAAATAGAACTCTGGTTGGGTGGTGGAGATGCCTCTCCAGGTAAAAGTACCTGCTGCAAGCATGACAACCTGAATTCAATTCCTGGGACCGGTGTGGTGGACAGAGAATGACTCCCCACAAGCTGTCCTCTGACTCGATTCATGGCATAAGCACATATGCAACCACACACATTCACACTCACATAAAGATACACAAAAATGTAATTACCACTATTTCTTTTAAAATAAAATCTGGACTGATGTTATGCCTCAGTGTGTTATGAGAAGCCCTGGGTCTGATCCCAAAACTAAAGAAAGGAAAAAGAGACAGGAGAGGGAAGAAGGGGAGGAAAAGGTCAGGAAAGGGAGGGAGGAAATTAAGGAAAGAAAAATGGAAAGCTTATGGAATTTTACTTTGGTAATTTGCAGAGACTTTGGGGGTGTGGGGGATGGACAGATGGCTCAGTGGTTAAGAGCTCCTGCAGAGGATCTAGGTTTTCTTTCCAGAACACACAACACATGGTGCACTTACACGTAGGCAAAACACTCAAACACATAAAATAAAAATAAACCTTTAAAAGACTGTGAAATCTAGAGGAAAGATATTACTGGTTCCTAAAAAGTGAAAAATATGTTCAATGTATTATTTTAAGATCAGCACAGGCAGAACATATTTGAGCCATCCAGACAGAAAACCCAGTTAGAGCTAGTGAGCAGAAATTAAAAACAGTGTAAGAAAACAAAGGTAAGAAATTTTTTAAAGAAAATGACTGCCAAAATAGGCCAATGTTAAGGTTTATGTCTGAGTTACTGAGAGCATGTTACATAATGCATCAGCAAAGAAAGACAGCATATGGAATTAGTTTTGAAGGGAAGACTTTTAAGTTCTATTTCCGAGATAGGTTAAAGTAAGAATTATCCAGGCCTGTCAAATTTCTTCGACTCAGCTGATCTGTTAAGTATTTTCAGTAACATCAAGGATTTCCTTCAATTTTACTTATCAGTGAAATAATCATTTAATTTTCTGGCACTGAAAACATGCATTTTTTCCCTCTGTATTACCAGGTTAATCTTTTTTTTCAAGTTTTTCTGAGAAGGAATTTATAACAATAGTCACATCAGACTATGAACTCTGGAAGAAAGTTCTCAAAATTTGAAAACTAACAGCATAAACTGTCACTCAGTGTTTCATAAACCATTATACTAATGTGTCAACTGTTTACATGGCTCTGTAACACCAGGAAAATCTCAAAAACTGTTTGAGGGGGAGGCAAATCTTTTAAAACTTAATGCTCACGCACACAGCTGAGATCTGACCACTATGCACTTATAGATATTCCAGCCAGTTCCTACAGATGAGTTTTCCTAAAGGAAGCACCCAATGAGAAAAGTACTACTCAACCAACGCATACGCCTTAATTTATCATCAAGATGTGAATGGAATTTCTGTTTAAAAACGAGATTGAAAATTATCTAACAAAACTTTCTTCTTGGACTGTTTCTCCATTGATTTTGGGACCTCGCTGAGGCTGAAAGCAAACAACGGATTTCCAGGTGCTTAAGAAATCGTTAAGGATGATCATAACGCTTCCGAAGTTAAGCTTTTGAAAATGAACACTTCTTGCGAAACTTTTACTCGTTTTGGCTGGACAGTGACCCTCTTTGCTCCCCACCCCAAGATGGGGTTAGGAAGTTTTCTTCACCTCATTCTTCCCTAATGCCCAAGGATTCTTACCTAACATAAGGGGCAGAATTTTCTTTGGGTGACTCCAGCTCCGTTCGACATTAACCGAGCGATGTTACGGTCCTCAACCCTGAACAAAAACCCAGCTTCACCAGCTGTTCCCATCAAAGCGAACGGAAACCCGTGCGAAACCGTACAAACCCAACCCAGCACGCTGTTTTTCCTGGACCTACCCCAGCTCAACAGCCCCCGGCCACCCCCATCTCTCCTGCTCGGGGCCGGCAGGGGGAGGGGAGGGCGCGCCCCGAGGATGTCCCCCTGACCGGCTTCCTCCCGCTGCAGGCTGGAGGTGAGAGCGCCCTTCCTGCCAACCCGTTCCTACCTTCCCGGCCTCAGACACTACCGCAGACCGCGGCAGGGCTTGCTGAGAGGCGCTGAGGCGGCGCACGCTGGCCTGCCCACCTCCCCGAGCGGCGCTCGCAGCGCTCGCAGCTCAGGGGAGAGGCCGCAGGGTCACCGGGGTGCACGGCGGATACCCCGAGCTCCACCGAGCGGCCTCCCCGCCCCCTCCGCTCCGCCGCCGGCAGACGGCGCCCCTGGGCTAACTTCCCCGGGGAAGAGGAAGCGACCACACTAACAGACAGCGCAGACGGACCGGGAGGGGGTGGGCGAGAGGACCGTGCGATTCGGCAGGCGGGCAGGGCCGTCTCACCTTCCCTCCGCCGTGCCTGCGGCTCCCGTCACCTGAGGACCGCACCGGGACGCCACGGCGGCTGCACGGAGGCCGTTACCGCACGAGGCCTGTGCCGCGCCGCCGCGTAGCCCTCAGAGAGAGGCGGGGCGAGAGCAACCGATGGGGGGGCCGGTGCGGCAGGAAACCCGCTCCACGCCCAATCTGATAGGCTCCATCGCCTGCGGAGCCCGCCCCTGACGTCACAGAGGAATGCGCCGCTTCGGGATTGGGCGGGCTGGCCTGTCAATCAAGCGCGGCGCTGAGTGTGCCGTGAGCTGAGACTGCGCGGCGGCGCTCAGACAGGAGACGGTGAGGAGCGCCGGACCTGTCTGTTGGCGGTGTTCTTCCCCCAGCTTCCTCGGTGGCTGGTTTCTTTCCGCCTCTCTCAGCGCTGCTGAAACCTGTCATTACAATCGCTCGTTAGTGTCGGCCCCGAGACCAACCCAAACTGTTCTCTCTGGTTCCTGCACCTGAAGGGACCGACCAGCTGCAGATTCTTAGCGACAGGGAGCGACAAAGAAAAACGAGCCTCGGAGAAAAAAATCTAAGATGTTTGTTGATTAAAACCAGGACCAAAATAAGCTGTCTAAGGAACTTCCTAATGCCCTGGCCCGTGAGCAGCCTTGACTCTGGGCTTCCAGCCCTGCTGAAAAGGACAGTTACTTTTGCCCTGGGGCTGGGCATGGCACAGCCCCAGCCAGCTGCCAAGGCACCTGTAAATCGGTTATCCATCCTAACTAGTCTTGCAGCCTCCCATAACTTCCTCACTGTTTCTTAACCACTTGTGTTTCTTAGCGTAGGTGTGGCACCTAAAGAAACACTCCAGGTTAGGTAACTTTTTTGAAACGTGATTTTGCCTCCAGCGTAACTACACCCATATTCCTAAAGTGCAAAATCTATTAAATGAGGAACTGTGTCAGCGTCCATCCATCCTCACTCCATATCTAGCATATCATCGTCAATAATAGAGGCATTAATACATCTTCCTTTCACTTTTTGTTTATTTTTTAGTATATGAGTGTTTTGCCTTTGTATATTTGTGTGCCATATGCGTGCCTATAGGATCTTCTGGAACTGGAGTTACAGGTGGTTTTGAACCACATGTGTGCTGGGAATCAAACCCAGGTCCCCTGGAAGAGCAACCAGTGCTCGTAATCACTGAACCATCTCTCCAACTTCTTCCTTGCACTGTAATACAGACCCTACCTGCAAGTCCTAAAAATTCACTTTTTTGCATTTAACTTAGTTGTTCATGGAAAGATATGTGGCTTGACATGTCTTAGGAAAACCACAAATTACTGTGGCCCCTTCTTAGCCTGACTGTAGTTAAGAAAAGTAGACCATAAAACTGGGCAAAGGATATTCTTTACATTCTGTTGATAGTATCAAAAGCAAATAATGCACATTATGTATTTAAAAACGTACAAAGCTGGGCAGTGGTGGCACATGGGAGGCAGAGGCAGGCAGATCTCTGTGAGTTTGAGACCAGCCTGGTCTACAGATCGAGTTCCAAGACAATGTTACACAGAGAAACCCTGTCTCGAAAAACAAACAAAAATAAAGCATATGGACCACCACACCGTTTATCTCAGCATTGGAGAGGCAGAAGCAGATTCAATTTCTGCAAGGTCAAAGCCAGCCTGATCCATGTAGCAAATTGGAGGACAGCCAATGTTATATAGAGCGACTCTGTCTCAAAAGCAAGCAAGAACAATACAGGAAGCTCACCCCGAGTAACTCCAAAGGAGGAGATTTGGAGTGATAAAGAAAGGAATTGTGAACCCTCCATATCTTAAGACCTTTTCCAGGAAACTGTTGATAGCTTATAGTTAGAATGATGTAGTTTAGTGTTCCTATCAGACAGGAATGTTTAGAGAAAAAAAAGTTCTACCTATCTGCTAGCAAGAATTTATTACAGGCTTGATTGACAGGTAGAAATCAGTGGGCCCTACTAACTAAATTTAATTTCTATTACAGGAAAGAGTCTAGTTTGTATGGTAGGCACTACAATAGGCACTGGATATCGTAAGAGTCAGATATTGACATTTAAACCAACCTGTATTATTAATATGCTAATCCCCAGAACAGTTGTATCTAGGGACAGAGAGACATTAATGTGTAGTAAGACTATTCAGGCAAAAAGAAATGGTTGAAGGGTTACATAATATAAAGACATGAAGCAATTGTAGTATATTGATGAAGCAGGCAGTGGCTAGAATTTAAGCAATATGTTAGGAAAGCTGAGGGCCCTAGAGTTTATCCCATAAGCATTGAGAAGTCACTAGAGAGTTGTTGCTTGTTTTTTCAGTACTTTAAAGATCATTCTGGTGTTTTCTGACCTTCATTGCTTCTACTGAGGAGCAAGCTGCAATTTGTTTTTTTGTTTTTTTAACTGTGTGTTGGATGTTTGGATTGCATGTTAAGTGTACTGTGTGTCTGCAGTTCCATCAGAGACCAGAAGAGGGATCAGATCCCCTGGAACTGAATTAACAGGCAGTTACAAGCTGCTTTACTGGTGCTAGGAACCCAACTTGGGTTCTCTGAAAGAGCAACAAGTGTTCTTAATGGAGGAATCATCTCTCCTACCTCAAGTTGTAGTTCTTGATATCTTTTATGAACTGTGGTATGAATGTAATTGGCCTGCATCATCTCCTAGGGAGTGACGCTATTAGGAAGTATGGCTTTGTTGGAATGGGTATGGCCTTGTTTGAGGAAGTGTGTCACTATGGAAGCACGATTTGAGGTTTCCTATGCTCAGGATACCTCCCAGTATTTCAGCTGACTTCCTGTTGCCTGCAAGATGTAGCACTGTCAGCTCCAGCACCACCTCTGCCCGCATGCCGCCGTGCCCTTATCATGATGGTAATGAACTGAACCTCTGAAGCTGTAAGCAAGTCACCCCAATTAAATGTTTTCTTTATGAGTTGCCATGCATAGTGTCTCTTCACAGCAATAAAAACCTTAACTAAGACACTATTTATTTATTTCTTTGGAATATGTCTGTGTGTCTGCACACATGTATGTGTAGAGTTGATTCTCTCACTCCACCACGTGGGTTCCAAGGATCCGACTTGGGTCGTTAGGATTGGTGACAAGAGCCCTTTTCCACTAGGCCATCTCACGGATCCTGTAGCTCTTGTCATTGTTTTTCTGTGCATCATATCTTTCTGCTCTGGATATTTTTAAGACTCTATAACTTCATCCTCATCAGCAAAGATGCACTGTTAAGTTGCACTGTTTCTAGATGTCTTTTTCTATTTATCCTGCCAGACATTCGTCTAGTTCCCCAGTTTTCTGAGTTGTTAGTGCTTATTTTCTACCTTTAATCCAAAACTTCTCCACCTTATCTTCTCTTCTTCAAAGACAGCAGTAACATTTATGCTGCATTTCTTAGTACAGACTCTGTTCTCTCTGGCTCACTTTCCACCACCGTCCCTCCAAATCCTCTTTCTCTGCTATCATTTGCTGTCTGTGTGTTTATGTCCATGCAAATCCACTGCAGGGTGCACCCAAGACTTCGTGTATGCTAGCCAGACATTCCATCAACAGGATATATACCCAGCCCTTTTAACTTTTTAAAGTTTGTATATAGGATCTTGCTAAATTACCCAAGCTGTACTCCAATTTGGGAGCATCATGCCCTAGCTTCCCAAGAAGCTAAGATAATAAGCTTATATCTCAATACCTGGCTCAGGTTGCATAATGTCTATTGATAACTAATGTCTAGTAATCCCTGGAAATCTAAATATCAGCATTTTCCCAAAGCTAGGTATCTTATTAGTGCCTTCAGATTTGTTTGAAGATGATTTGGACCCTTTACTCAGAAAAACGGAAATAACAAGATATCACAATGGAGAAGATTTAGTATTATGTGTTATGGACTGAAAATTCGCACCTGTCATCCCATCATTGGAGAGGCAGTTGATCACTCCAAGTTCAAAGTTACCCAGGGTTGTATAGTGAGACCCTGTCTCAAATAGACCACAAAACAAAAACAAAAAGGTCAGGGGCAAAGGGCCAGGGATGACACTGAGGTAACCCAAAAGAGATTGCCCTTCATGGATCAACTACCACCCCTAGGGCTAGGAAAAGGGAGAATCAGGTTTGGATTATAGGATTACCCAGTTGGTTATAGCTCAGACCTCTAGGAGGAAGCTCTGCAGCTGGCCCTCCTACTGCTCAAAGGGAATGATGTTGTGGCAAGGGCTTATAGGAAGGAATGATTTCAAAAGTAACTTAAGGATTGCAGGGGTAAAACAGCAACATATGCTACAGGCAAATAGAAAGAGGAAAGTCCCTTCTCTTTCTACCGCCTAATCTTCCTCTATTAACTTTTTTGCTTTCTCTTGTTTGTTTATTTATGCATATATTTATTTGCAGGACACCCCCCAGTGGTTGAATCTACAGCAGCAGCTTGCTATATAGCAGGTAAGTGCTCTGCCACTGAGCTATATCCCCAGTAGTTGCCCCTTTTTTGAAAACAGGTCTAAGTTTCCAAAGCTAAACTTGAGCTTGGGATCCACCTGCCTCAGCCTCCTAAGTAGCTAGAATTACAGCCCCTCTGTAATGTCCTTTGTAGGCAAAACTCTGTGAGACATACTAGCTAGCATAAAAAAAAAACAGCAAAAAAAGCAACAATGCAATGTGTAGAATCTGAGCCTTATCATCGAATAGGAAAGTATAGAAGGGTGAGTTGGGAGCTAAGAGACAATACTTAATATGCAGAATAATGGTTCAAATTAATGCTATCTTGTATGAGTCTACTGACCTAAAGGCTCTTTTTTGGGGGGAGGAGGTTGTTTTATTTTGTTTTGTTTTTGAGACGGGGTTTCTCTGTAGCTTTGGAGCCTGTCCTAGAACTGGCTCTGTAGACCAGGCTGGACTTGAAGTTGCAGAGACCTGTCTGCCTCTGCCTCCCAAGTGCTGGGATTAAAGGCATGCACCATGAGGAGAGTCTTGAGATACTGTGTCAATTTTCTGCTACATCATGATACTGCTAGTGTGTCAAAAACAATTTAACTTTACTTTCTCTTTATTCTTGAGAATTTCATACATGAATACAATGAAACATGGTCATATCCAACCCTGTTTCCCTCCTCTAACTCTCCCCACATGTCCATATACCCCTCAACGTGTCCCCCTTCCAACTAATAACCTTTTTTTCTGACACAGGGTTTCTCTATGTAACTCTTGACTGTCCCAGAAATGACTTTTTTAAAATAACCTGCTAAATCTTGGTGATATTTTGTTTATGATCTAACAAATAAAGCTTGCCAGAAGATCAGAGTGGAGAGCTAACCACACTATTAGCCAGAGGCCAAGCAGTGGTGGTACACACCTTTGATCCCAGCATTTGGGAGACAGAGGCATACAGACCTCTGTTAATTCAAGGTCACCCTGGGCTGTATGAAATTGATCCAGTCTAAAAGAGAAACACAGCCAAGCAGTTGTGATTCACACCTTCAATCCCAGTACTTGGAAGTCACACACCTTTAATCCCAGTGCTAAAGAGGTGGAGACAGGAAGGGATATGGCCAGGTGGAGAGAGGAATGTAAGTCAGGGCAGTTAGTCTGAGGAGCAGTGCACTCTGAGCAGCAATCAGTCTGAACGAGAAGTCTGAGGACAGGATTGCCCCTTTGGTCTGAACTCTAATGGCTGGCCACTCTGCTTCTCTGATATTTAGCTTTCACTCCCTGATAACTGGCTCTGAGTTTTTATTATTAAGACCTATTAATAATAAAAAATAAAAAAGACCTTCTACAAGTTCATCTGTAGTGGTGGGGTGGAGGGGGCTCAGGGAGACTGGAACACTAACATAATAGTAGGAACATCCTCCCCCAGCAGGTATCAACCACCAATAACTCAGGAAGGCATAGGTCCTGGAGAGTCCCTCTTCAGCTATGCTGAAATTGTGGCTGGCTTCATCTTGTGCAGGTCTTGCATAAGTAACCACATCTGCTTTGAGTTCATCGTGCAATAGACATGTCAGTGTCTTTATTTTCTTAAGACTATGGCATATCTGCTTTGCTTACATACTTACCATAGAATCATAAGCAGGGGCAACTATACAAGATTTGCATAAATGACAATGAGGAGGCTCTGTCCAAATATTAACTCTCACATTATCAGGTACAAAATGGTATGGATTGGCTTTGGGGGAGCATGCCTTTAGTCACAGTACATGGGAGGCAGAGGCAGGAAGTTCTCTGTGAGTTTGAGACTAGCCTGATCTACAGAAAGAGTTTCAGGACAGCTAAGGCTACACAGAGAAACCACGTCTCAAAAAAACAAAACAACTAAACAAAAAGAATAAACATTTTCCCCAGGCATAGTGGCACTTGCCTTTAATGCCAACACTTGGGAGACAGAGGCAGGCAGGTCTCTGTGAGTTCCAGACAAGTCTGTTCTACATAGCAAGTTACAGGACAGCCAGAACTACATAGAAATACCCTGTCTCAAAACAAAACAAAAACATTTCTCAAGTTTTAGAAGTTTATAACCACAGGCATTAAATCTGAGACTCCTAGTCATGTGTCTTTGGTGATGGAGAATGATAATCTTCTAACACAGTTACTGTTTATTAATAATTAAAAAGACACCAAGTTCATGACACATTTCATCAATTTAATATATATGCTTTAATATATTAGTCTGAAATATTTTTCTTCATCTGTATAATTATTTATACTATATAGCACTCTATCAATTATATAACACAAAGACATCTACAGGTAAATATTAAAATGGCAATGTACATGTTAATAACTAGACATTAAGAAGATAATACTAACCAGGTATTCATTTAATGGGAGAGTCCAGTATTTCCTGATAATCTTCCCTCCTTACATTCCTCCAGTACAGTTTATAGCCAGCAAGGACGAATACACTAATCATAATGATCACACCTCCAAAAACATCATAAACACTAGGAAATATGTGTAACACTAAAAGCTGTAAGATCATAGCTACCACAATCTCCAGATGCTGTACTGTGCTGACCAAAGCCGGGTGGAATTTGTCTAAGGCATAATAAACTCCTAAGAACGCTGCAGTAGAACAGATGCATATAGCAATGAGATAGCTCCACGTTTCTCCATCTAAAGGGATGATAGGTTCTTGAAGGACAAACATAGTAGAAACTCCCCAGATTGTTCCAGTCCAACCAAAGGTAAACAGTGCGGTCCACATGCTGATCTTCTCCCTGATGGACCTGTACACTATCATAGAAAGAGCAGTGGTCAGTCCGGCCATCACAGTCATAGTGTACCCGAAGGCTTCTTTCCAGGCATTTAATAACGAATTGTCTTCATCAACAATGTTAGGAATCATGACAAGACAAACACCTAAGATACTGCAAACCACGGTAGCCATGTCAACATAAGCCATTTTCTCATCTACAAGTAAAAATGCTAAAATGGCACTGAAAACTGTGGTTGTGGCTCTCCACATTGTAGTCCCATTGCTGGGAGGAACTATTGAAAAGGAGGTATAAGCACAGGTGATAGAAATAACATTGCATATACCATAAAAGAAAAGTCGTAATCTGTATCCACTGGGTCCAAAAGGAGCTTCCTGGTAATAGCACACAACTAACACCGATAAGACCTGCAAGACAGAACGGATAAAGATCAGTTCTAAAGATGGAACTTTAGAACGATCAGAAACAAGCCTAGTGATAAGAGCCACGCATCCATGAGCCAAGGCAGACCCAAATAGCACTATCCACATTTTTCGGGACTGAAAAATGTTTTTTTCTGCAAAACTCTGGAATTGTGCCATCCCACTGGCTCTTAAGTCTTCTGCTAGTGGAGGCTGAGTGTCCATGGTTCCAAACAAAGTTCTTCCTTTCCTCTTCATTTCACTCAGCAGGCTCTTCTTGGGATTTTCTTCCATAAATCTGCCATAGTCTTCATTGATTTCTTCATACCCGTTGTCCGCAGGTTGGGGATAATGAGAGGTGTATTTCACCATGACTGTGTTGGGATGTATTTTCACCCGTTTTTTAACTGGATATTTTTGGGATGGAGAAGTATCCATTTCTTCAGATAACAAATTCTATTTAAAGAGAAAAAATATATACATGTTTATTGCATTGAAAATGGCATTACTATTTTACATATCTATACATGTATGTATATATAATTTCAATGATGGAAGGTAGAGATTATAACAGGAGTCTGCAAAGAAAACATAATAGGAAAATTTGATTTGTCATATGCATTATCATGTCTATGAAGCCCAATGGAATTTTCCAGCCTGCTATCATTCCTATTGTGAGCCTGTCCCAATGTCTCACTGTATTTGTTCTTATTTAGCTCTTTTGTTTGTTTAGTTTGTTTGTTTTTTCAAGACAGGGTGTCTTTGGAGCCTGTCCTGGAACTCCCTCTGTAGTCGAGGCTGGCCTTGAACTCACAGAGATCCGCCTGCCTCTGCCTCCCGAGTGCTGGGATTAAAGGCGTGTGCCACCAACACCTGGTGTTTATTGGTTTTTTGAAAAAGGGTCTCATATAACCCATGCTGGCCTTGAACTCTTCACCTTCCTGCCTCCAACTCCCAACTGCTAGGATTAGAGGTATATGCCATATACCCAGCTTGTCTCTTTCAGCTTTATACCTCATTTTTATATGACATTTTACATGACACACTGATATTTTCCCATCTTTTCATTTCTACCCATCACACACACAAAACAAAAGCAGCCTTTTTAAAATAGATTTTATTTAATTTTCTTTCATGTGCATTGGTACTTTGTCTGCATTCATGCCTATATGAGGGTGTTTGAATCCTCTGGAACTGTAGGTACAGACAGTTGTGAACTGCCACGTGGCGTGCTGGGAATTGAACCCAAGTCCTCTGGAAGAACAGTCAGTGCTCCTAACCACTGAGTCATCCCTCCAGCCCCCACACCTTGACTTTTTGTTGTATCCATTTGTCTATGTTCTAAATTGTTAATACATAAACCCGGAGTATTTTAAAGATGTTTTAAATTTTGTATGTGTGTGTCTGTCTGTGTGCATGTGTGTGTGCTTGTGTGCATGCATGTGCACATATGTAGGTATGCAGGTATCCTCACAGGCCAGAAAAGGGAGTCAAATTTCCTAGATTGGAGTTATAGGTGGTTGTGAGCCTCTCCTGGGAACCAAACTTGGGTCCTTTGAAAAAGCAGGAAGTGCTTTTAACCACTGAGCCTCTTATCAGTTCCCAAAGGCATTTTACATAATTTTATATATCTAAGCCAAGTGGCACATATCTATAATTCCAGCACTTGATATTGTGATATACTTTTGGTTAGGAAAATTATTAAGCTTCCTTCAAAGTAAGGATTAAAGAAATACTGAATATAAAGAATTTTCCATAGAAGTATATATAGTAAACTCTCAATAAATGTTAACAGTAAGTTTGGCTATTTTCACCTACAGTTGCCCTGTGAAGCACTGGATACCTTTTACAGTGTTATTCTTTCTCACTCAGTCTGCCTTCTTCCCTTTCTTTGAACAGTTTCCTTTTCCTTCTCAGTGATTCTCTTCTTCCATCCTAAAAGGTGATCTCCAGACATGTGGAGCCCACTGGAATGTCCACCCTAAAAGGAAGAGGCAAAGGAGAGGAAACTTTTCTCTCCTCATGATCCCCAAATACTTGTCCAAACTCATCCATTCCAGGACTTAAGCCATGACCCCAGAATCAAATCCAGTTCAATTCTTTTGACACCATTTGGATATCCAGCTGTTCTATTTACTCCCTCTTCTTCTGAAAGTCCTCTTCGGCTGGAAGAAGTCATGGAAAAATACAGCCCATGCCTCCAGACCCCCCAGACCTAACCAGCCTCCTCCTCCTGTCTCCAGAATACTGGTTTCAAGAAACCCCACTATTCTTTATTTCTCACTTCTAACCATTTCCATTGTAAAATCGTGGTTTTAGTTTCAATAACCTCAAATTCAGTCATAGTCTCAATAGCCAAGAAAGTACATTCTTCCCAGATCCCTCGCTTGTGTTGGAGATCTCACAGTCCTCCCAGATCCCCAAGCCACACTCTGAATTCTCCTTTCTGCCATCACACTCCAAATTGGCTCGTTCTTACTGTTTTTGTCTGTGAAATATTTCCTGGAGTTTTCTTTTTTCTCTAATTCCATGTTAATGTCATCATTCTAGAAGAGCCAGTATGGGTTCCAGACTAGATCATTACCCTGACATCCTGTCAGGCCCCCTTGAGTTCCAGCCCTCTTCTAAATCCTGTTGTCACATTAATCTGTCTTTAAAAGATTCAGACAAGGCGGTGGTGGCACATGCCTTTAATCCCAGCACTCGGGAGGCAGAGGCAGGTGGATCTCTGTGAGTTGGAGGCCGGGCTGGACCGACAGCCTCCAAAACAATACAGAGAAACCCTGTCTCATAAAAAAAAAAAAAAAAAAAAAAAAAAAAGATTCAGACAAAAACTTTCCTCCACATTTTCCCCATCCAAGAATCAAGAGTTCTCTACAGACCTCCTTTCTGCATTATCAGTATTAATTAACCCAGTGCACCTGTGTAATCCCAACACTTAGGGTGTAGAGGCAGGACAACCAGAAAGTAAAGGCCATCCTCAGCTACATAGTGAGTGGGTTTGAAGCTAGCCTGGACCACATGAGATGCTGTCTCACAAAAAAACAAACAAACAAAAAGCGTTAACTCCAGGCACTTGATACCCTACTTAGCGTGGCCCTGGTCTGTACTTAGCCCCTTGGCCTTCACACTATGCTCCAGGAATCTGTGTGGTATCACCCTAACCTTGTACCATGTGTGTAAAAGTCATTTCTCAGGTTTCTATTCCACTAATCCCTCCTCTGCTCCAACATTCTAAACAGTGATCATCTGTTAGGAGCTAATTCAAATTCTGTCTTTAGGAGCAAGCCTTCTCTGACTTCTCCAGACACTTCTTCATCTAAACAATTGCAGCACTTGTAATCTAATTTGTATAATGTAATCATGCTGCTTCCTGCTTGGTTCAGCTCTGGAGTTTTATGTTCCTAGTTACTGTACCCAATTTAACTATGTCAATTCTCATTTCCTTGATAGCCAGTAATTATCTTAATGAAATTTTACATTCCATAACTTCCCATTTGCTGCTATTGTTGAAAATTTTACCTTATATTCATTCAAAGCTTCCCCCTTTCTGCTACAGGTCAAACCTAAAGCTCTAGGAACGTGATTAGGGAGTGAGAGTGAGTTGACAGTTTATTCCTCCTATTCTCTCCCTTTGGGAATTGCAAAAGGGGTTATCAGGTCAGCAAGATGGCCAAGGCTCAGTGACCAAGGGTGCATTCCAAAAAAGGTTGATGATCTGAGTCCAATCCCAGGAAGTCACATGATAGAAGGAAGGAACTGACTCCTACAAATTGTCCTCTGGCTTCCATACACATGCCATGGCACATGTGTGCCCATGCATATACCCTCACACAATGAAGACATGTTTTAAACATTGTAAAGAAAGCTACAGAAAGGAAGGAAAATGAAAGGAACACAGGCACGCACTGGCTCCTCTTGTGTGATAGCCTATTGATGTAAAAACTGGGTCAAGCTGAACTACAGGCCTCACTTATTTAATCAAATGCAAATATAAATGCTGCCATGAATGAATTTTGTAGATATGATTTAAAACCCCTAAACCAGGGGCTGTGCAAGCCTGTAATCCCAGCACTTGAGAGATGGAGGCAGGAATAGCAGGAGTTCAATACCATCCTCAGATACACAGGGTGCTCAAAGCTAGCCCAGGCTACATGAGACCTTGTCTCAAAAAAAGAAATTCTAAATCAGTCGACTTTAACTTAATAAAAAGTAAGACTATGTCTCAAAAGAAAAAAAAGGCAGGCTGGAGAGACGGTTCAGTGGTTAAGAGTACTAGCTGTTCTTGCAGAAAACCCAGATTTGGTTCTCAACACCCACCTGATGGTTCACAACTACCTGTAACTCCAGTTTCAGGGGATCCAACTCCTTCTTCTGGTTACTGAGTGCATGTGGTATGCATGAAACCATGCAAGCATTCACATATACACACAAAAAATAATATTTTTAAAAGAAAGAAAAGGGAGTGTCTCAGTTACTGTTCTGTTGCTGTGAAAAGACACCATGGCTAAGGTAACTCCTATGAAAGAAAGCATCTAACTGGGGGTTTGCTTACAGTTTCAGAGGATTAGTCAGTTATCATCTTGGCAGGGAACATAGTGGCACACATGGCACTGGAGCCGTAGCTGAGAGCTACTTTCTGATCCACAGGCCATCTGGGAGAGAAAGGCTAGACCTGGCAGGGGCTTTTGAAACCTCAAAGCCCATCCCCAGTAACACACTTCTCCAACAAGGCCACATCACATCACCTAAACCTTCTAATCCTATCAAACAGTTCTACTCTCTGGTGACTAAGCATTCAACTACATGGGCCTAAGAGGCCAATCTTATTCAAACCACCATAGGTGAGAAGGCAAAGGAAAAATACCATTTAGTACTCATGTCCACATTATTGGACAAAGTTCAGTTCAAAGCAACACAGTGAGAGCGTGTTTCCTGAAAATTCAGAAGTTGGGGTTGAAGAGATAGCTCAGTGTGAAAAGCCAAGTTGGATCTCCAGCCCCCATGCAAAAGCTTTTTGATGGTACATGCTGCAATCACAGCACTGTAGGGCCAGGGGAGGAGGATTCCTGGGAGTCACAAGTCAGCCGGCCTAGCCAAACCAGCGAGCTCCAGGTTCAGTGAGAGACCCTGTCTTGGAAAACAAGGCCAACAGCTCCTGAGGAATAGCCAAGACTGGCTTCTAGCCTCCTCTTGCACACATGCTCCATACACTCATATGCACCTGCACAAAACCAGAAATAAAAACAAAAGCCTTAAAAGCTGGGTATTTATTTCATTGTAGAGTACTTGTCTGGTATACATATGGTCCTGGATTAGATCCTACCATGCAAAAGAGAAGTGGTAGAATAAAGGTTCTTCGCTCTATCCATGAACTTCTTAATGCTGAAGTAAGCAGTGGCAAGCATTCTGCTCTGACTATAGCTCTTGGCCCTGATGTTCAGCCCTTAGAGAGGCTTCCCCTCCTGACCCTGGAACCATCTTACAAATGTGCATTCTTCCTTGTCCAAATCCATCTTCATCACCGTACCAGTCTGCTGATTGGCCAACGGTGGCACGTCTGTGATGATGACTGCCTGCAGTGCTTAACAGGGGTGAAACAATGCCAAGACTGAGCGACATCCTACTTGATCTGGGCTATAAAAACAATCAGCATACACCAGGCTAAATGAGAAGCACCTCAGCATGTTAACTAGAATCTGCTTCAGGGAAAGCTACCTGAGTGAGAAAAGCCTCATTTAAGGCTGAAAAGCAGAGGCTTCCCAAGAAGTTAAGACTGCTTTGAAGGGGTTAGGCTGACTAGAGCCAGGGCTCTCAGACTGCACTGAATTAGGCAAGCTGATACTAGATTCCATAATGAACCACATAAGGAAGAGCAATGAAGAGTGTGGTCAAAGGCAGTTTAGGAGAGTTTAACTTAATTATTAACAGTAACTAGGGACATTTCTGAGCTGGTTCACTCTGGCATGTAGGAGGAATAAAAATTACACTTATGGGATTTGTAAATGACAGGAGGGAAGAAGATGGGCCTGGAGGGTTTGGACTTGGAGAGTGGGATGCCCACTGAATAGGGAAGATAGTTGAAATTTGAGCTGGAGACTCACCTGACAGTTCTGGAGCCCAAAGTCAGGAGGTGATTGGGAGTAAGCTACCCAGAAACTGTGAGGCAACTCACAGCTGCACTGAAAGGAAAAGGGGGAAGACTGGAGGGGAAAAGAGCAGAAGGTATTGGGAAGGGGAAGTAGGAGGAGAATTAACAGTCTGATTAGAGCCAGGCTAACCACATTCAGTCTGCCGTCGACTGTCCATGCTGCTTTAAGAGGAGACTGTTTCTTCACCACTCAGTGATGGTTAATGACTTAGTGGACAGGAGTAAGTCATGCATACCAGGATTTTTGGAGGCGTGGGGGTTTTGTTTTTTGTTTTGTTTTGTCCTTTGAGACAGAGTCTCACTATATATCCCTAGCTTTCCTGGAACTCAATATGTAGACCATGCCTCTGTCTCTGGAGGGCTGAGATTTAAAGCATGAGCCAAGCCGGGCAGTGGTGGCACACCTTTAGTCCCAGCACTTGGGAGGCAGAGGTAGGTGGATCTCCCTGAGTTCGAGATCAGCCTGGTCTACAAGAGCAGTCTCCAAATCCACAGAGAAACCCTATCTTGAAAAACAAACAAAACAAAAAACAATAAAAGCATGAGCCACCACACCTGGCAACACCAGTTTTTTTGAAAAGTGTTGTTTTTTGTTTTGTTTTCCTTTTTAAGCTTTTTTAAATAAAATGATTATAATAATAGTTATTATTATGGCTGTATGTGGCAGTTTTCAAACAAGTAGACAGATTTGACTTGTGTGGAGGTGATGATGCCTGGTTTGGAACAGAGCAGTTATGCTGTGACACTTTAAAATTCATTCTGGCACACTGATGAGTGTGTTGGCTGGCAGCTAAGAACATGCTAGAAAGCAAGATTTTTACCATTTATTTATTAACCTTTTTATTCTTTGATTCTAGAGATCGAACCAGGGCCTCATGTATGACAAGCTAAGGAAAACCAAGGCTCACAACTTATAATCAGCACTCTCCATTCCAGCAAAGTGCATTTCTAATCTCTGAAGAGTAGTTTTATCAATTTACATAAACTATGCCATTCTCAGGTGACACATACTTGTCATCTAACACTTACTTTCCTGAAAGAAAAAAATTAAGCAAAATCAATTTGCAGCAAAATCAGCACTTTTAGATTCAGCCTGCTGATGATTATAAAGGATAAAGGGGGACATGGCTAGAAAGGGGGGGCAAGAATAAAATGATCTTTTTCTCTTTTTTGTTTTTTTTGGGGGGGCGGGGACTGGAGGGATAGGATCTCACTCGTAGCTCTGACTGTCCTGGAACTTACTATATAGACCAGGCTAGCCTCAAACTCACAGAGATCTGCCTGCCTCTGATTCCTGAGTTCTGGGATTAAAGGCATGTGCCGCTATACCCAGCTGAAATAATCTTTTTCTATTTTATGATCTTTTTATATGTATCTACATGGTTAAATCATTGATTTGTTGCATTGATTACATGCTATTTAAGTATAAAACAAATTCTTGGTTGTTGATGTATTTCTGGGCTGCTTATTATTTACCTCAGTCTTCTGAAAGAGTTCAAAGAAACCTTGCAACCATCTCAGATATGCAAGAATCTCTGAACAAAAAAAAGGAACATCCCAGGAGCAAGTCTGCTCTCAGATCCCCAAAACACTACTTGTACCACCTGCTCCCATCTGCCCTGCTCTTCCTGCTGTTTATCTATGCAAGCACCAAGCCTGAATCTCCAAACCCCACTTCAGGCCAATGTCTGGAGATACTACAGTGAATTAGTAACAAATTTTACAAATCTTATTTGTTTTACTTATAACTTATTCTTCACATAACAGACTGATGTTATGATTAAGAAAGTTACAATCCAGTCACCTCTTTCCATAAACTATATTTCAGTAAAATCCCAATGATAAGAGCATTAAGAAATGGCCATTAGATGCCTCCTTGTTTCAGAGCAAACTATAAGTCATATTTTGAATTTAATTTTTACAATACCTGGCAGGCAACACAGTACACATAGACATTAAAATCACCACACTCCATTAATGTCTATAGAACACATACACAGGCACTGCAAAGATGAAGAAACTTATCAAGTCTCTGTTATTGCCAAGGACTCTGTACATTAACAACAACCATTGCATAATCCATCTCATCAAAAGTTAGTTAGCGGCCGGTGCTGGTGGCGCACGCCTTTAACCCCAGCACTTGGGAGGCAGAGGCAGGCGAATCTCCGTGAGCCGAGACCAACCTGGTTTACAAGAGTTAGTTCCAGGGCAGCCTCCAAAGCCACAGAGAAACCCTGCCTCCGAAAAAAAAAGTTAGTTAGCAGTATGTATCAAAACTTTATATGTGTGAGTTCTCCCAGCCATGCCATTTGCAATAATAGAATCTAAGGAGAAAATCAGTAAAGCACATAAAATGCACACATAAGGGTAGTCACCATGGCTCTCTTTATATGATGAAAAATTAGAAATAACCTAATTGCCAATTAATGGGGAGGGGCTAAAGGAAAACATCAATGTAATACACAGTCATTCAAAAGGAAAATATATGTGTATATAATATAAAATATTTATGTCATATTGCTAAGAAATTTATAAAAGTGTATTCATGAGATGGGGTTGTAGATTAGTTGGAAGAATATTTGCCCAGCATGTATGAAGCCTTGGGTTTGATGCTCAGTAACATATAAACCAAGCATGGTAGCACTCTAAAGGTAAAAGCAGGAGCATTGGGAGTTAAGTACCATTCTTGGCTACAAAGAAAGTTTGAAGCCTGCCTAAGATATATGAAATTTTGTCTCCCCACTAAAAAGACCCTAAAAAATATTCATGGTAGGGTTCTATTTATATAAAATAATGTATATGCATGTATATACTAACTCATATGCATATGTATTTATGGATTTTTACATTTTATATATAGATATTTGAAATCTAAAAAAGTTTAACATACTTTCTTAAGAAGAAAAACTAATTCATTACTCTGTGTTTTAGTCTGACGAGTCACTCAAGAGCCAAGTGTAGTTCTTGTATATCTGTGCCATCTGTGGGAGGAAAGCTGTGGATAAATAGACCATTTTACAGGGAAAATATGAATGGATGGTGTCTAGTGCTCAAATCAAAACAGAGGTAAATGACTACAAACTGAGGGAGATGCCTTTGTTACTGCTTTTGAAAGAATCCAATATATGCATGTGTATATAATATGGTATTTTCACGGCAAACTAAAAATATAATGTAGATTCCAAATGGCAGCAAAGAACATAACATCATTACCATTGGCTTTTCTTACATAAGTTTCCACCCCATAAATCTTCATGTTAATGTGAGAAATCTGACCTGAACAGATGGACCTCATGCTGTTCTCTAACGCATGCACAGATTTCTGCTCATCTGAACCAGGAAATGGAGTCAGCACTAAAACAGAAGACAGTATCATTCATCTCCTAGGATTGCCATTTCAGAAGCTGCTCATAGAAGCAATACTTCCCTCTTCAGAAATAGAGCAAGTGATATTTTTATGCCTTAATGCAATGTGTTCTTAACACAGTAGAGAAGGGGGATGGGATGTTGGTTCAGGATGTAAAGGTGCTTGCTATCAAGCTTGACAAGTCCAACACAGAAAGACCTGACTCTCACAAGTTGTGTTATGACCTACACACACACACACACACACTTAATAAATGTAACAAAAAATTAGAAGCTGGGCAGAGTGGCACACGCCTTTAATCCCAGCACTCAGGAGGCAGAGGCAGGCAGATCTCTGTGAGTACAAGCCAGCCTGATCTACAGAGTGAGTTCCAGGACAGTCAAGGATATTACACATAGAAACCCTGTCTCAAAAAGAAGAAAAGAAAAGAAAAGAATGATAAAAACACAGAAGGGTATCTGTGACATTGGGGATGCTAGGTGAATGGTCATTGAACCTTAACCATGTTTGAAGAATCCTCTCACCACTGCTCTCATTTGGCTGCCTCTGCCCTTGATCCCCGTGTCCCTCTTGTATTTTTGGTTGTGAGCCTAGCCTTTAATGACTGAGTCATCTCTCCAGTTCGATCCCCATGTTTCTCATGGAGGTCACACCCCTGGGCATTGACCCACTCTCTAGATCTTCACTTGAACCTGCTTAGCTCTTTGTCTCACTACCTAAGAGCCTCTCTTACTTGAGTATCTTCATTGGTGCAGTTTTATAAGTAGGCATCCTTCGGCTTGAAGATCCAATAAAGGACTCTAACAAGTAATTAGCACCTTTGAGATTTTAATTTCTTGGTTCACAGCTCTTATTTACTTAATGCTTTGAAGATGCTGGCAGGGCCATCAGGATTGACTCCTAAGATTTGGGTCAAGTAGCTGATATGGTCAGGAGATGGGTTACATCAAAGGAGAAAGAGCAAATAAATATATCCAGGATAACAGGAGCCAGATTCGCATCCTAAGAAAACACACGGCCATTGTTTAAAACTTGAGACAGTCAGCAGCTGGAAACTCACTTGGAGAAGCTGCTCTCTGAATTATCTGTTCCTTCTCTAGGTGCTGGAACACTTTGTTCTGGAATGTTCCAGCCGTCCTTGACATACTTTACCACTGTGGGCTGTGTATGTACATAACTATAGTCCCTGATAAACTGTTTCCACTCCAAGAATGAGGATGATGACTGTCTTTTTTTCTGGATATCTTGAAGGTCCTATCTCAGAACCAGAATCAGCAAATTCTGACAGAACAGGAGCTCTTTGGCCTAGCTGGCCTGCTCTGAAGAGAGTCACTGTTTCACTGTTGGCCTTTAATCCTTGATCACATTAGCTGATGCAGAGCTTCTTCTCCACGGCGCTTCAGTCCAATGCCCTCATACTCCCTGACTCTGAGTTAAGGGACCCAAGAACTAACTAGTAAGAGAGTCTGGCTGTCTTCCTCCATCACTTTCAAAAGCCTCACTTAGTCTCCTTCCAGACTTTCACTCCTGTTTAGAACAGTGGCTCAGCTAGCAATAATAGAAACTGAAGAGAAAATAAATACATAATATAAAAATGGATCAACAAGTATTTTCTTTCTTTAATCAGATTCTTAAGGTAAAATGTCCAGCAAAGCTGCTTATTGATACTGTGGTGTCTAAAACAAAACAAAGCTTCCCAAGTCAATGATTATATACAGTCAGAAAGTGATTAAACACACACGCCTGTAAAATGTTAGGCATGAGGATTGATTTCATATATGGTCCTAACAGAAACAGGGTTAACATTTACATAAAGAGTTGTACTGCATTTGCCTGTTGGTTATATACAGCAACCATTATGTGAACCTAGAGTAGAAAATTCAACACTACAGTATTATATAAATGACAGTATTTTAAATTATGTATACACATTAACATTTATAGGGCAAAGTAAAATTTTGGTCAAGAGTAAGAAAAAAGTTCCATGATCTCAGCTGGTCTCTGACATTCCCCTGCCAACTTAAGGGTATTTCCTCGATACAAACCAGAGAGGAAATGAGTGAATACTGACAAAGGGGAGGCAGTTGAGTGATTATCATTCTCCTTCCCACATCTTCCCACTATTACTAAAAGTTAAAGGTGAGAAAAATAGTATTAAGTGTTGTTAGGATACTGTGCGTGGAGGACCTTGGAAGATTACATGGCGGGCGAGGGTGACCAAGGCCAGCGGGGGGTGGGGGGGTGGGGGAGTGGGGGGGGGGGTGGAAGGGGTGGGTGGGGCACAAACATGCCAGGCAATAGAACTCAGCGAGAGCTTTCATTAGAAAGGGAAAGGGGGAGAAGAAAAGAAAAAAGAGGTAAAGAGGCAGATAGAGAGAGGACAGAAGAGAAGAGGGAGACAGGAAAAGTCCTGTCTGCCCCCAGGGGAACAGCAAGAAAGAGAGAGAAAAAGAGAGGGCAAATTGTCTTTCTTTTAAAGGGGTCCTTTGCACCTGCGTGAAGGCTACATAACCATGGAACCCTGGGCTCCCCAGGCTGACAGGAACAGGCCAGCATAATGCCTGAATCCTTACAAGTGTGGTGATGAAAAAGATTTCTGCCTGATTTTATGACCAAAATATACAGGAGGAACATCAAGTAAGGAAGGAGTAGCAGTGACTCACGGAACAACCATGTGTCAGTGTGTAAGAATTCCACCTGTAGCACAAGGCATCTCAGCAAGAAACCCAAGCAAGATTCTGACAACCAGCACTGAGTTCTAACGTACT